GACCTCCAAGGCCCCTTCCAACTCTGTTCTTCTATTCCTGTGAACAAGAAGAACAAGAAGCAATGGGTGGAAACTAATCTAGGAGAGAAGCAACTTAGAACTGAGGATAAATTTCCTGACAGTGAGAACAATTAATCAGTGGAACAGAAGTTGCCTCCAGAAGTTGTGAATTCTCCAACACTGGAAGTCTTTAAGAAGATGTTGGATAGCCATTTGCCTGGAACGGGATAGGGTTTCCTGCCTAGGCAGGGGGTTGGACTAGAAGACCTCCAAGGCCCCTTCCAACTCTGTTCTTCTATTCCTGTGAACAAGAAGAACAAGAAGCAATGGGTGGAAACTAATCTAGGAGAGAAGCAACTTAGAACTGAGGATAAATTTCCTGACAGTGAGAACAATTAATCAGTGGAACAGAAGTTGCCTCCAGAAGTTGTGAATTCTCCAACACTGGAAGTCTTTAAGAAGACGTTGGATAGCGATTTGTCTGAAACGGTGTAGGGTTTCCTGCCTATGCAGAGGGTTGGACTAGAAGCCCTCCGAGGCCCCTTCCAACTCTGCTATTGTATTGTATTGTTGGCGAACCTATGGCACGCTTGCCACAGGTGCCACACGGAGCCATATCTGCCAGCACGCAAGCTGTCATGATGAACAGTTGTGAGATGAGGGCTACCTGTATCAGTTGAATAAACCACCCATGAACCCGGCTGTCGTTTTTTCCCAGGCCCCTCCTAAAAGGAAGAATCACGTGGAGATGAAAGAAATTGACCCTGGGACAGAGCACCAGTATGGGACTTTAAACATCGTGATGACGGGCTACGACGTCTGCCTGGTTGAACACTACGCTCAGTATGTCCATCGGCTCTGCAACAAGCTGCCCGTCAAAGTAGTCGAAAGGTTAGACTCACTTAGCAACCATACGTAGCCAGAGGTCTGAGGATGCACCTCCAGAGGTTGTGGGTGCTCCAACACTGGAAGCTTTTAAGACAACTGTTGGACAGCTGTTTGTCTGAAGGGGTGTAGGATTTCCTGCCTGAGCAGGGGGTTGGACTAGGAGACCTCCGAGGTCCCTTCCAATTTTGTTATTCTATTCTAACGCCTTGCTCAAGCAGGAAATCGAGAACGGAACAGAACAGAGTAGAAAACAGTTGAAGTGGAGTGGAATGGAATATAACAGAATATAGAAAAGAGAATGGAATAGAATAGAGAAGAATAGAATAGAAAATAGAATGGAATAGAATAGAATAGAGAAGAATAGAATAGAGTGGAATAGAAGAATAGAATAGAATAGGAATTAAATGAATAGAATAGAATAGAGAAGAATAGAATAGAAGAATAGAATAGAGAAGAATAGAAAATAGAATAGAATAGAGAAGAATAGAATAGAAGAGAATAGAATGGAATGGAATAGAAGAATAGAATAGGAATTAAATGAATAGAATAGAATAGAGAAGAATAGAATAGAAGAATAGAATAGAGAAGAATAGAAAATAGAATAGAATAGAGAAGAATAGAATAGAAAAGAATAGAATAGAGAAGAAT